TTTGATTAGCCAGGCCAGGCAAGGGTCGAGAGAAGAGGTTGTGGCCCAACAGCGATCAAGTGCCTTGCTTACCAAATCCAGTGTTAGGCTGAAAGGAGTCAAGAATTACTGGGCAAAGAGGAGCGTTGGACATCTCTGCTCAATCCATTGTATTTTAAAAAGGATGGCCTCCACTTTGGATTTTAAAAATGCTGCAAATTGGTCAGGTGAATGCTAGGGGGAGGCCCTTCACCAAGACCAATTCCGGATAGATCACGAACTATATGGAAAAGTTCCGCCTGCTGGTTGGAAGCTTCGCTTATCCAGTCAGCGATGTAAGATCTTCTAGCAGCCTTTACCATGGCTAGGTAACGGTTAGTTGTGATCCTGACAGCTATCTTATTATGACCCGTCAATTCCCTTCTCCAAACGCACTCTAGCTGTCTCCTTATTCACTTCATTGCTCGTAGATCCTGAGTATACCAGGGGCCTGGCCGGGCTCTGCTCCTGAGAGGGCATTTGGGAGCGATCGTGTCTACGGCCCTAGTGGCGGCGGAGAGCCAGCCATCAACCAGAGCTTCGACAGGAGCGCCAGACAGTTCTGCTGGAATCCCTCTCAAGGTATCCTGGAAACCCATTGGATCCAGTAACCTTCGAGGGCGGGCCATCAAAATAGATCCATGCTCCCTATGAGGAGAGAGCGCCATTGCGAGGTTACATTTTATTAGGTGATGGTCTGACCATGACAAGGGGACTGACACGAGGTCAGTCACCATCAGACCATGCTCACTACACTCGGTGGAAAAAAACAGGTCGAGCATGTGGCCACCCATGTGCGTGGGGCCGTTGACATGTTGGGATAAGTTCAAGGAAGCCATGGTTTCCAGGAACTCAAGAGCTGGACCGGATACCTCCACCTCTGCATGGATGTTGAAGTCACCCAGGACCAGAAGTCTCGGGGACTCCAACAGTGCCATGGAGACGAAGTCCGCCAGCTCCGGTAGGGAGGTGGCTGGGTCACGGGGAGCGCGGGAGCCCAGCAAGATCCCAATACCATCCCTGGCCCCAATTTGCACATGAAGGGCCTCCAAACCTGGCTTCACGACCGAGGAGCGCCTAGTAACCTCTAGAGATTTTCTATAGACAATGGCAACTCCCCCCCACCCCTCCAGTCTGCCCTGGTGCCGGACTGCATAGCCTGGAGGTCAGGAAAGGGTCAGAGGAACCCCTCCTTCCCCACCCATCCCGGGAAAGGGTATGCACGCCAGGTCTGCATCCTCCTCCAGTATGAGATCTTGAATAAGCTGGGATTTGTTGGATACAGACCTGGCGTTCAGCAGGACCAGGTTCAGAGTAGAGGGCCAGCTAGACTGCCTACCTCAATACAGGCAGTTGGTCACAGTGCCAGAACGGTGAACAGCCTTCAAACATCTGTTCACCATTCTCCTAACACAAGTAGGCACTGTGCCAGCACCATATCTCCCTCTACCCGTAATCACCATGATGTTAGAACCCTCGCTGGGCCAGCAGGCCTTCCTCTCCATATCAGTCAGAAGAATAGAAAGAAAAGAGAGAGAAAAAACTAAATAGGCAAAATACTCTTAGGTGATACAGTACAACAAAACAATAATAAAGATTAACAAATAATAGCTGGGAATAAACATTAATAGTAATGAAACATTTACAATAAGCATTGATTATAATTATATCCAAATTAGAAAATTCAATAAAATTCAAATTATACAGTTTAAATAAATATAATATTGAAATTTAAAATATGCATTTGTTTCAAATGGATTAAACAAAAAAATAGAATGAAGCTTTGAGTTCACTCTAGTGGCAGGTCTCCAAGATCAACCATGAGTTCAGTAGGCAGAAGAGAATTGTGCCTAAATTTCATCCACAACAGCTGGCGTATCTTTATTTTTTAATATTCATTTTTTTCTTTTGTGTGAATTTTAAACCTACACTGTTAGACTGCCATATTGTTGAATATATATTTTATATCTGTTTTTTTTTATGCTTACATTCTAACCTATAAGCCTCCCAGTGTAGTGGTTACACTAATGGGGTAGTCTCTCTCTCTCTCTCTCTTTCTCTCTCTCTCTCTCTGTGTGTGTGATGTAAGATTGCACTGCCTTTCCACTGACAGAATTATGGGGTGAGGGGAGTGAGGCACACAGAAGAGTTAAGCACCAGTGCAAATTTAGCAGGGGGTAAGGAACAAAGAATGCTAGTGTGTTTCCAACCCTCCAACAGATGAACACTGTTAACTAAACTTTCCAAATTGTATCAGTGGGATATGATGACGCTGACCAAGCATTCCAGTAAGTTTGTCAGAGCAAACTTAGAAGAGCAAACAAAGAAGAGCATTTGAAAGGATGCCGTTACTGAATTTTTGCCAAGAGACGTACAAACAGATCATTTGTAGAGGAATAGCAAGAAAACCAAGTCACATGGTCATGGATAGAATGCAAATGTTTGGGTTGCTTTTGCTCAAACACTTGAGCCATCTTTCAATCAGGAGTGGAAGTTTTATAGTGGCAGCAAGGGTATATCTGTGAATGGAACAATCTCCAACTGGGACGATCCAATAGAGTTTGGGAGTTCCTATTCCGTAAAATTTGTTGAATTTAGGAGGGGAAATTGGATTTTCTATAAATATACAGAAAGGTTATCTATGTTTGCAGAATACAAGATGCATTGTTTGGGTGTGGGTGTGAATGTAGGGATGTAGTAGTTACCTACTCTGACTAAGAAGAGAATAGATAGATTGTTTTACATTACAGGATAGCTTATACATGGCAAATATATTTTCACTGTGTTATCAAGCATCTTATGTGTATTTTTCTGGAAAGATGGAAGTTTGAATGGAAGATTAAGCACTCAGAACTCTTTACATTATTTTCACCCTGAATGTCACACTTCAGTAGACGCATTTTGAAGTGCAGTGAATTATATTTTAAGCAACCTGCATTTAAAGAGAATGATAGTAGAAATTGCTCCAGATGTGAATTAAAATGGTCAGCAGTCACAACTTTTGTCTTACACTGTTCTGTCCTAGTAGCCTAAACAGAACTCATGGGCAATATATAAGTGCATATGCTGTTTTATAGATTGGAACTTGGGATCCTGCAAGTGGCCTTAACATGACTGAGAATCAGAAAGGAAAACCAGCAAATGTTACTGATTCACTGTCTAATCGCTCCCTGAGTGTAACAACCATCTTGGTAAGTAATCATCCATTTCGGTAAGTAATCATATGCCCCATTGTTTCTTCAGAAAATCAGATGTCTGTAAAAACAAGGTGGGGAAGTCATAGTAATTACAATAGCATCTATGTAAAAACAAACACCTGCACACGTGCATACACACAACTAGTATATAAATGTCTTCCCCAGTTATTTAGCAGTGTCTGCATAATGAATGATTTCAAATGTTAGTTAAGGAGTTTTACTCTCATCTACAAAAATGACAATTTATTTTAATTTCACTCCTGACCCTCAGTTGACTGTTCTTTTAGTAATCTTATGATTACTCAGAACTTTTAAGTTTTGACAGAATCTATTATTGTTGGTCTGTAGAATGAATATATCCATAATATATATGCACACACAAAGAGAGAGAGAAATAGAAACAGCAGTGCATCTGTAAAGACAAATTATAGAGACTCCTTTTTTAGAATAGACATAATTTATGTTGAGTTCCATAGAGACTGTATTGAATTTTCATAATGATTTCTTCCCTGAATTAGCTTGTGATATGGTTGATATTATTGCATTAGGTGTCTGCTGTAGATAGCACAATGCTTGCATTAAATAAAGGCTTCAGTTCTAAGCAAACTCTATTGGATGTAACAGCCGTTAAAATCAATGAGATTTGCTCCTGTGGACGGATGTCTGAGGTTTGTGTTGATATGTGACAAAATGTCTTTCACAAGTTCCAGACCATCAGAGTTTATTTATCACCATCATCACCCCTTTGATGATGCTAGCTCTTCCCAAGCTTATTCCTTTTTGCCCTCCTTTTGCGAAAGGATTTTGGCAGGGTGGAGGGCCCTTTGATGAAAAGTAATAAAACAACCTTGGATGCCATGATCACATGATATGGCATTCTTCTATCTCTAAATCATGACTATCAATTGTTGTTTAACTAGTGATAACATTGACGTGATCATTTTCTCTGAGCAGCATACAACCGCATCAGTTACACATCCCCTCATTTGTCATCTCACAATCCTTTTTGTTTCAGAAAAATATTAGTGGTACAGCTCAGTGCCGTTTTCCTCCTGTACAGGATAAAGCTTTCAAGAGTGACTGGCGGGGAAGGAAGCTCCCCAACCATGTGTGTTTAACAGAATGTTGCCAATGTCTAGATTCTTCCAAATGTGACTCAGCCATATCTTAAATGGCTCAATAAAGGAACCAAGGATTTCAGGGTTTTCATTATTTCTGCCATTTCTGCTTTAGCTAGTTACACTCATGTAGTCATAAACAAGAACATATACCCTGAAGGGGAGCATGGGTTTACTGCAGTCTTCCAGATGGAAATGCAAAGGATCCATGTGGGAACATCTTGCAGCTGGCAAGACAGATGCATATGCCAGATGATCTGGCACACATATTATGTGCCGGAGTGTTTGCTGGGCAGTATACCAAGCAGTATAACACAGCTAATATATATTTGACATCTCTTTTTAACTGCACTGATTGGAATAGCATTGGAAATGAGAAGTTAAACTATTTGCTAAGAATACAAATGCAAGAACAGGTGGTTGATTATTTGTTAAGAAATTTATGTAAATTTTCCTTGTCCTTCAACAGTTTTCCATATAATCTTAGCAAAAAGTCAAAATTCTAATAAAAATACCATAACAATGTTGAATACAAATACAAAACATTAAGTATGCTATAATATAAAAAGTACCATTTGATTGATTGACTGATTGATTGACTGATTGATTGATTGATTTCTGATACCACTTGATATTATGAGATTTCCAAGGGCTTCACCTTGAAAACTGTTTAAAAAGTGTAAGAAAAAATTAGTAGTTTAGAAATAGCAAATGATTAAAGAATTGAAAGTGGCATAAAAGTAATGAGTGGAATTAAAACAATCACTAAGCAGCATAAAAGTGATATACAGAAATGAATAAAACAGAGTTTTTAAAAGAGTCTTAGAAGAAAATCAGCTTGGTGTACTGATTAATTATTTACTTAGTTTTATCAAAAAATCAATGCAAATGGTTAATAAATTTTCTTTTTAGAAAAATAAATATTATCTCGTTATCAAATAGTCACGCGTGCATGACTTCCCCCAGCAATTATTGTAAAAAATACTATTAAGGATGGGAAAGAATTTCATTGGGAACTACCATCTTCACAAAATTGCCATTTTGTATTTCCAGTGAATCACTGTGGAAAGAAATATTACTGACCTAGAGAAGTCATGCGTGTCCAACACTTCCATTATGTTTCTTAGAAATAAAGTGTACACAAACAACGCTGAGAGATAAAATGCATACACTTGGAGAGAAAAAACCCAAGCCACTAACACATCAGAGTCAATGCAGAAAATGCATGAATTAGATAAAACTGGGAGGAGGTATCAAGTGGCATTCCCCAGGGCTCCATTCTGGGCCCTGTGCTATTCAATATTTTTATGAATGACCTGGATCAGAAGCTATAGGGAATGCTAATCAAATTTGTGGGTGGCACAAAATTGGGTGGAATAGCTAACACCCTGGAAGATAAAAACAAAATTCAGAATGATCTAGATGTGCTTGAGCATTGGGCTGAAAACAAGAGAATGAAATTCAGCAGAGATGGATGCATAGTACTGCACATAGGAAAAAGAAACAAAATATGTATACAGTTACAAGATGGAAGTACCTGGTTGACCAATGCTACAAGTGAAAAGGATCTTGGAGTTGTTGTAGATCATAAGTTGAATATGAGCCAACAGTCTGATGGGGGTACAAAAATGGCAAATGCTATTTTAGTCTAGATTAACAGAAGTATAATCTCCAAATCCCATGAGCAAAGCAAAAAAAAAGCAAAGCGTGCTGCTTATATACTGCCCCATGGTGCTTCAAGCAGTCTCTGGGTGGTTTACAAGTTAGTTATGCAGGCTACACATTGCGCCCCCCCCCCAGTGAGCTGGGTACTCATTTTACCAACCTCGGAAGGATAGAAGGCTGAGTCAACCTTGAGCCGCTACCAGGGATTTGAACCCCAGGTCGTGAGCACAGTTTTTAGCTGCAGTACAGCCATTTAACCACTGCGCCACAAGGCTGTTTACCCAGAGTGCAGGACATGCAACAATGGGCTCAATTTAAAGGAAGCCAGATTTTAGTTGATTATCAAGAAAAAAAACTTCTCACTGTTAGGACAGTACAGCAATTTTTCCATTTATACGACCCCCCCCAATGTACAGGATGACCCCCTAATTTTTACCCTTGCTGGAGGCAGAGGAGCAGTCAATGGGCAGCCACGAGGGGCGGCTGAGCTCGGCTGCTTCATTGGCTCCATGTCCACCACTTCCTCCTGCTGCTGAGCCTGCAAGTGGCACTGGAGGAGACTGCAGCAGCAGCATCAGAGGGAGACTGAGGTAAAGAAGCAGCTGCACTTGGCCACCTCTCGCTGATGCCCATTGACTGCCACCGCCACCGCTGGATCACCTCCTCCACTGATTGTCTCCTTCAGGCAGGGGACAAGGTGGTGACGTGAGCTGGAGGTAAGCCCTGGCAGGAGGAGGAGGCAATCGGACAGCAGCGGCAGAAGTCAATGGGCAGCCACAAGAGGCGGCCAAGTGCGGCTGCTTCTTTGCCTCAGTCTCTGCCTCCTGCTGTTGCCTTCCATGTATAAAATGACCCTGAATTTTTCCTCTAATTATTTTAGGAAATAGTGTCATTTTATACACTGAAAAATATAGTACCTCGAGAGTTGGTAAGTGCTGTAACACTGGAGGCATTCAAGGGAAATTTAGACAACCACCTGGCAGATATCCTTTGATTTGTATTCCTGAATCGAACAGGGAGTTGGGCTCGATGGCCTTATAGACCCTTTCCAACTTCATCATTCTATGATTCTGTAAAGTATGAACATAAATACATATGCTCCTTCATGAAAACATGCACAAGAACAGTGTGTATGGATTTATTTCTGGAAACAAAGTTTAGGGTGTAAATAGACGGGTGGAAAAGTAAGTGACTGACTATACCAGAAAGGGTCATGTTGCAGGGAATGATCTCCCTTAAAGCGACACTTCTATCTGCTGGGGAATCTCTCCACCCTGCCTTGGGCAGGGAGTAGGGTTGGGCTGGAACGTAATTCCCCCTACCTTGTGTAATCACCAAGCAATAAATCACACTAGACCACTCCTTGAGCAGTCCAAAATATGACCTGTAATCTAAAATCTGCAATGTACTGTAATCACATCCTTAGCAAAGAAAGCCTTAGAAGCTGATACAAAAGAAATATGATTGCTTATAAAGTAACTTACAAAACTTGTTGATTCAGAGCATTTTAAACTCTGCCATATGTTTTTGACAGAAGAGAATATTTTGAAAGTTATTCTGCAGTAGGTTCTGGCTTTCTAACAACACTTTCAAGAATTTTGGTGAGACATACGCTTGCAGTTGAGTACATTTGGATGTCTTCTGGTTTCTGTGCAGCTCCACTGGGACACAGAGCCAATATGGGCTGACATGACTAGTAATTCTAAATAATTGATCTTTGCTGCAGCACTGCAGGGTGTTCGTGTATGAAGCATTTCTGGCGAGGTATATACTGGCTCTCAAACATCTCATCTTTGCCTCAGAGCACCATGTTTTTTTCCAGTGTTAGGCTATATACCATGTTGGAATCTTTGCACCAGGACTGGCTTTCTAGAAATGCTTTCCCTATCCATTAGGCTTTTTTAAAATAAAATTCACAATCTATGTTTATACAACATAGTAGAAGAAAGATTTACAGCCCATAGGTATTCAGTAGTATTAAACACTGTAAGGGCAAGAAGAAATGTTTTAAGGACTGGTCAGTTAATTACAATCCTAAAATATCAGAGCTGGGAAATTTACTTTTAAGAACAATAAACTGACATACTGAATCTCTTCATAATCACAGTCTTACCTTAGAATTGCAGAGCTGGAAGGGATCATTGAATCCAGCCCCTGTCAAGGAGGCACAGTGGGGAATCAAACTCCCAGCCTCTGGCTCTGCAGCCACATACCTAAGCCATTGAGCATAACTGTTCATAACTGAGAGTAGGCCAACAAAGTCTTGAGGCACCTTAAAGACTAACATATTTAATTTGGCATAAGCTTTTGTGAACCTCAACATACTTCTTCAGTTGCAAGCTTTAACTTCTAATTCTTCAGAAGGTCCTAGAGTACAATTCTACCACTTTTCAATTATAGATAGTTTCAGTGTGTCATTACATAAAGTCTTCTTAAAAACAACTTCCCAAGAATTGTCTCACATTAGAACTTGTGTGATTTGCAAACTAACCTTTAGGAATTTCAGAATGGCTGGATGGGCATAGCAGAGACATTCAGGGACCTCTTCTCCGTTATAACAACCATGTGCTTTTATAGCCTACTGAGCTTGCAAACTGATGTGAGGGGAACAAAGATAGCCCTTTGGACTGTAGGCCTATTCATCTCCATGCAGATGTAGTTAGAAAAATAGCTGGAAAGCCCACCTTTGGGGGAAATGGGTATACTAGCCCCCTCTCCTTTTCTGTAGTCCTTCAAGTGGTAAATGTAGAAGGAAGCACCATGAGCAGAATCCAGCAGTAACCACTGACAGAAAAATCAATGCAGTTCTGTGCAATTGAGTGAAATTTAGATGTTATTATTTTATAGGATAATTTCCATTGTATTGATGTTCCTCTAACCTATGGCTGGAATCCTGTTGCTTTAACTTGTGCCACATAAGGCTGATGATGTAACCAAATCCAGTGATTATTATTATTTTTTAAATAAGACATTTCTGATTTTGCCGTCCCTCCCTCTCTCCCAAGCTTCCAAGCCTTCTATGAAATCCCTTATGTGACAGGACATCTGTTAGGGCCATGGGTCAGGGAGAGTCTTTAATTATCAAAAATTGTTGCTGCAGGGACAACTTTACTGGGGATGGCAATTTCCAGTAATTAAAAACTCATCCTTATGAAAGGGATCTCATGGATCCTTCCAGGGGAGGAATCAGAAAGTTTTTATTTCTGAAAAAGTGCCATGGTTGTTGCCATTATCAGTCTTATGTAAAGGACGTTAAAGCAATGGGATTTCAACAATTAGTTAGCATTTATTTTCTCATTGCCAGCTGGAGTTTTTTTTTAAAAAAAAATAGACAGGCAGGTAGATAAACAGATATATTTTAAAGCTGAGCAATCATACTGTCAAGCTGCTCGCATCTTTAATTAGTTTTTGGTGTGTGCCAGACCATGTGATTAATATTAATAACTTGGCCTCCTGAGAGAAATGGTAGAATATAAATCACATTAACCATAACAATGATAATGATAGCAAAGTTCTGGTCTTTGACTATAATAAATTAAATATCAGTTTCAATAATGATAGCAGTGACTTGGTGCTGAAAGTATTCAGATTATGCTGCAACTACTACCTTCAGTTTACAGATAACTGGACACTTGGGGAATTTGAGGGTAAATCCAAAATAGATTTTTCTGTTAGTAATGATAGTATGAAAACTATATCATGGACACTTACTCTCTGTTGATACTTTTAGAAATGCAGCAACTGAAATTTTAAGGGCTGTCCTGCACTCAACTGTGTCTTTTTTTAAAAACTTTCAATTACTATTTTTTCCCCCAGGAAGAGCCATATGTGATGTTCAAGAAGTCAGATAAACCTTTGTATGGCAATGATAGATTTGAGGGATATTGCATCGATCTCCTCAGGGAACTATCAACCTTTCTTGGATTTACTTATGAAATCAGGCTGGTGGAAGATGGAAAATATGGAGCTCGGGATGATGCCAGTGGACAGTGGAATGGCATGGTTCGTGAACTAATTGATCATGTAAGTTCCTTTTTCAGTCCTTTCAACTCTCCCCTTTAGAAACTCAGTCTTTTCCCATTGTCTCAGTAGATTTTGATGGAGTGACTTCTGCAATTAGAAACAAATGCTAACCAATTGCTGAAATAAGAGGTAGTTTCTGTTTTGTTCCATGTTCTAAACAATATTGACAACAAACTATAGCCAGATTCCAATTGTTTTCCTATGTTGGCACAACTTTTATTGTACAAACGTCTGGACATTCTTAGCCACCCTGAACTCATGGTGTAAGTTGTGCTGCCATTTGTGGAAGATTGCACAAGAAGTTGTGTTTTCTGTTGAGTGTGTTAGGAAGTGCATCCCTAACAAATCCTTTAATGGTGGCACAGTGAGAGACCTGATAGATGCATGATAGCTTCTGCAGAAGTGGGACTTAGCAAAAATGCATGCACGGATATGTATGGTTTCTGGATTTTGAATTGGCCTATGGAACCCTATTTCAGCCATGTTCAGCTTACAAAAAGCTACCAAAGTTCATTGGTAGGTTTATGTAATTCATTCCTTTTCTAGCTTCATTCCTCTTTGTGTAAGACTGAAAATACTGACCTGGAAAAATCCGGTATGTATGTAAGAACACTTGATGAAACACGCTTGGGGAGTACTGCCAGATAAAAGAGAGAGAGGGGGAGAATATTCTGTGTTTGCTCCAAATCCATGTATAAAAGTAGCATATGAGAAAGGTGTAGTGTCCATACACTTTCACCACCTACGTATGTGTGCTGCTAACCAAATATCAACCACTCTGAAACTCCTGCACCAAGTATGGGTTTTCTGCTTGAACTTGTGAAGAGGTACTCTTGGATTTTCCCTATCACTAACAAGACAAACAGCTTGTGTTCCCTTTTTCGCTGGTGCTATAACGCTGTCAAAACAAAGGTCTTACTTCACACTACCCTTTTAAAAGTAAGATTTTTGGGGGGTTCATAATCACAGCAGTCTTTAATTTGGGATGCTACAAAAATCAGGCGTCATAGCACAGATTGTTGGTAAACATGGATGTTGTGCTATGTGACTGATATCTGTAAAATATTGAGCAAGGATTGCAAACAAAGTGAGCTTTATTTTAAAAAAAGATACAATACAAGGGATATAAAATCCTGCAGGAATAATAAAATACTGAAACAAAGTTTGAAGTCTCCAGTTTCTTCAGCAGACACCCATAAGTCTTTATTTTTAACAGGGTAATGTAGACACTTTCTTTTCCTTTTGTATAAGTACTTCAACACAAGTACTAAGAGGACTACACTTACTCAACCTGTTATAACAAACATCTTCCTCACAAACCATACTCCATTATGGCTCACTCGCTCTATTTCTAACTCACTCATATGCATACACACATTTGCATAAACACACATGTTATGCCTGACTCTAACTGATTCCATCACACACTGTCATTCCTTATATACAAACAAAATGTATCTAGCCAGGAACCACACAGATCAATCAACTTCCAGTTCCATTTATAAACATTCTTTAATGTCACGATTATCATAACAGTCATTCCTAGCATCCGTTCTACATAAAGTGCCAATCAGTCTAGACACTATCCCACAAGCAATTTTTTAAATAAAATCTGTAAACAAAACATATACACTATGCAAAAGTATTACAGAAGGCCCTTCTCATAGATAGGTGTCTTTCATCTACCTTTTGTAAGTGCAAGGGTTATTACTATCATCATTACCATGTAATCCTTCATCAGCTTCATATAAATGGTAGAATGATTGGATGGGGATAAACTCAGTGGGAGCTGCAAGACATTAGGGGTCTGCTGGTCTCCCTGCCCATTATGTTCCATATTGGGTGCCTTTCTTGAAACTACCAGACTCCTAATGCATTGCAGCTCCTGAACAGCTTAGCCTTGCCCACCACTTTTTTGTCTGCCTGAAGATTCATTAGATTCAAAACACGTGAGAGGACTTTGTGGGTTTGTTTGTTTTGCTAAAACCACTAAAATTCTGGCTGGGGAGATTTCTACAGAGGTCTGGGGACTTTAGTCTCCCCAAAAATACAAAAGTCCCATACTTGCTACCTAGGCAAATTAAACCACTCAAAATACTGTGATATGGGGCATAAAATCCCTCAAATACCCCCTCTCTGACTCCTGGTGTAAAATACAATAATAACAAATGAAGTAAGTTAACGTTTCCTGCCAAAGAAACACAGGATGCTGACACATGCTGAGTAATACCATTGGCCCATTTAGTCCAAGACTGCCATCTCTGAGTAATGTCTCTGGTGATCTTTAAAGCTGGCTGGGTCTGATCCTGCTTAGCTTCAGAAGAGCAGCTGTGTTGAAGATAATGTGATGGTAATTTTCATGGTACCCCAAATCTGCTACCTGAGGTGACTTGATACAAGAGTAGGGATGTAACGGGACACAACTTGGTACATAGAACAGCATCTCTGCAGTTGTGTGTAAGATGAACAAACTATAATAGGTGGTCTTATTTGTTTATTTATTATTCATTCATTCATTTACAATATTTATATGCCTCCATTCTCCTAAAGGATCCATAAAGCCATCTTCTGAAGCTACTTCACAATATGGGAAATTGAGTGGAAGGCAATTTGACAGCTGTTAGTTCACTTTCATTTGTTTCCAGCAATTGCACATATTGGAAATGAACCAGACTGCATATTGATTCATATTGGAAATGAACCAAACGATCCTAACCCCCACCAACAAGTAGAAGCCCCTGACAGGGACCCAGAAAGGTGCATGTAGGAGTGCTCCAGAGGCGAACTAGTTTGCTCCAGAATTGCATCCTGTGATTAAAAGTTGCAAACCAGCCCATCCCCACAGTGGACCAAAGAGTGGCAGAAATGCCTGTTTGATCACACTCTTTTTTTCAAATTAAGATCCTTGAAAATATCTTGAATATTAAAACTATAGGTGGACATTCAGGAACAACCAACACCTTCCTGTGAAACCAGACTTGATTTTATGTCCCAGAGGAATCCATGTGTCACTTTGAAAATATATGGTATTTATCTTTCATTAGCATGCATTGTGGATTGCCCTGTCTCCTCCATTTAAAATACCAGCTAAGATGTCTTAGATGGTAAGAGAGAAAATATCAATGAATGCTGAAACAGCAGGGTAATTCTGTGTGAGTCAAAACAGATATCATTACTGGCAATTGTTTATAATTGAGTAAGTCAGGCATCCCTTCACTTTATTGCTTTTAAAACATACTCTCTCAGTAGGTGGTGCCAATTGAATTTGGTCTCCTGGAAATAGAGCTGAGTCTCTTTGAAAATTATGCAATTGTCTCCAGCTTCTTTGTGTTTTGTCAAATTTGCATTTATTATGGCAAACTGTTCAATAGCAAGACATCTGATCAAAGCCACTTGTAATAAAACAAGTACTCTGAAGACTGCTGCCATTTAATAAAACAAAGAAGGAGATTGTTCTGTCATTCAGGTTTGTACTTCTTCATTGGTATCAATGGGATAGCTTCAGTAAAAACTGTTTATTCCAGTGGCAGGACAGCCACCTCCTTGCCAACTGCAGACCCTCATCCTGTATTGCAAATCCCGGAATTTTTGCTGAGTTTCAAAAGTGCCTAATTGCCGTGGAGTTGCTGTTAGAGGGAAAAGACTGCATCTCCCTCTATGAGCTTGCCCGGGCATTAAGATAATCAGGGGAGGCCTTTCTCCTGGTCCCACCACCCTCACAGGTGCACCTGGTGGGAACACAGGAGAGAGGGCCTTCTCTGTCGCCAGACTCTGAAACTTTCATGAGAAGCCAGACTGGCCCCATCTTTACTGCTTTTAGCTTTTAAACATCATCCTTTTAGTGATATAAGCTGTCCTGGATAATTTTAAGGGGAAATGTATGTATGTACATATTTTAAATAAAAATATGTACATACATACATTTTGTTAGTGCCTAAAGTACCCCACAGAGAGGACAGAAAGGGAACAAAAATCCAGGGCAATTCTTCTTAGCTAGCATTGACCTTTTCACCTCCCCCCCCCCCCCCCCGCTATTTTGGTGTTATGTTTCTTCCTGCTGTCCAACATGCAAAGAGATACATTATGTTTGGTTGCATCTATTCCAAGAGTTTGTTCTCCCTTTTGTCAGTTGAAAGGATCCTCTTCATTGCGTCCGGTCATGGCCTAACTGGCCAGAAAGTACTGTAACAAAAATAGTAAAACCAGACCACCAGACAAATCCCTTCTATGTCTGGTGGGTGCGGGTGGAGTTGTTTCCACTCAACTTGACTTTCAACTCCAGCATAGTGGCGAAGGCCTAGGGATTGCAGGAATTGGCCTTTGGGTCTGTCTCACAGTCCAATGGCTGCCCTTTGCCTACTCCTGTTATAGTCCAGCTGCATAGTAAAAACTAAAACATAAAGGAAGAGGAAAAAATAGGGCTGCATGGGCCTTGGGGCACACCTGTTCTGTTTCATTTCTGTCTTGTTCCCCAGCACCCAGTCACAGGCACCTAATTTATTTCAATCTTTTTCACATGACCAAGGGACAAGAAAATATGGGTTGCCGAACATGGGTCTGTATATAAGCTGAAAGGGCTAGACTGTGCAACCAATTTCTCACACTGGTGAGCACTTACACAGGTAATCCAATAGATTTATATCCAACCCTGAAGTGGTTGCTTTATGTCAAGGGATTGATTAATGAAGATGGTTGTCAGTACAGCCTTCTAAGTCCCTGTGTCAAGCTAGCAAGCTAGCATCTGTATCCATTTTTGCCTCTTTTAAGTTTTTATTTTTGCCTCATTTCACTCCCCACTTTCTACATTTCTTGCCCTACTTATATATTTTCAGTGTGGGCATATGTCAGAAGAGTCTTTTAAGAATTGTCATGTGTATTTTAGTAATAATCCACTTAAGTAGAAAATCAAACATAATTGCTACCAAATATATGAAGGTTTGCCTGAATTAATTACAACTATTTTTAGTTATTATTTTATTCTTTGAAATAAATGTATGTGA